CCAGCATGAAGGACCACCATGTCCGGTGTCCTCCCGCCCACCACCATCCTAAACATTGCCCCACAAACCTCCCCCCAGCAAAATCCCCTGTACCCAAACCATCGGACTGTCAACTGGTCCTTCGGAAAGCCCAGCTGCTGGCCCTGCATTCGAGCTGCGGCCCTCCTCTCGGCCCAGAAGACAAAAGAATGTCCCACAATCCAAGCAACCCGTCCTGGGGAGAAGAAGAAAACAAGCGTGAGGGAAAGGCAAAAGAGGACTCCCCCGTCCATGCCCGCCCCCGTACCATATCTATACATATACATATATATATATAACATATACATACACAGACATGTACCCTTTTTTTTTTTTTTTATTCCAATAAGCCCAACCGTACATATGAGCGGAACCGCACCGACTCCCATCTCCCTATGCGCTTCACGACCTCATCTCCTAGTCCCAACCGTGCGGCCTCCGTGGCCGCCCCAATGCGAAAGGAGTGAGTACCAAAACGTCCGGCCGGAAGCCCCAACTTACCTAGCCCGGACCGAAAAACCTTTGTAAACTGAAACCGGGACAGGGAAGAACCATCCGCATGTACCAAAAAGGAACCCCCTACCGCCGGCCTCCGAGCCATGTACTCCGCCACTGCAGCCACCGGGCACAATACTGCGCCCGGCAGAGCCCATAGCGTAACGTCCCTACCCACGCCGCGGACGTCCGTCTTAGAACTACCCAGATGCACAACCACCTTACCCTCCAAAACACGAACCCCTGAGGCCTGCAGACCCCCGGGCAACACCCTACTGGCACTCACCAGCTCCCCCAGGCGGAACGCCCCGAAGAATGCCAAGAGAAAAGCCGCTCTAAACAAAGAGACCTCAAACCCGTTGAAACAAATTTCCGGCAACCGACCCACCAGATCCCCCAATACCCGTACCGACACCGGGCGCCTAGAGTCACAGGACCTGCGGCCCTTTCGATAACCCTTTAACGCCTGCCGTACTAGGAAGGTCTTAGTCAGATCCTCCGACCCGCGCCATCGGAACCAGAAAGCCATTGCCGCCATGGACCTGTCGACCACTGCCGGGGACGCCCCCTTTGCCAGCAATTGGCAGGTGTACCACAGAAAAGCGTCCCGCAGCGCATCCCCACATAAGCCATGCTCCAACCCGTCTAATGATCGTTCCCAAGAGTCCCAGACCTTACTGTAGGAGGCCCATGTGGCCGGTGCCAGTGAAGCCTTCACAAGTCCCCCAAGCAGGACGCTCCCAGCTGCCATATCTCGTCCGGGCAAGCCTCCCCTTCCTTCAATGCTCCTGGCGCCATCGTCCAAAATCGGGACCACTGAAAACGAGACAGAGCGTCAGCCACCTCATTCAGGTACCCAGGGACATGACGCGCGCGAAACACAACATTCCGTGACATACACATCAACACAAAGCGCCGCAGCAACCTAACCACCGGCTTAGAGGCAGCCGATTGATTATTCACCGCATGCACCACCGCCATGTTGTCCGAGAAAAAGACCACTTTCTGGTCCCGGAGCCCCTCGCCCCATAGTGCCATTGCAACGACCAACGGGAATAATTCCAGAAAAGCCAGGTTGCGCATGACTGGGCTGGACCCCCATGCCTCCGGCCACCGCTCCGCGCACCATCTCCCGCCGAAGTAGGCCCCGAAGCCCACACTACCCGAAGCATCCGTGAAGAGCTCCAGCTCCGCCGTCGACTTACCCGCCCGCCGGAAAAACACCGTCCCGTTGAAATCCTGCAGGAAGGCATCCCAAACGCCCAAATCAGCCCTCATGGCTGCTGACACCCGTATGAAATGGTGTGGGGATCGAACTCCTGCCGTAGCAGCCGCCAGGCTGCGGCTGAAAACCCTCCCCATAGGAATTACACGGCATGCAAAGTTCAGCATCCCTATCAGCGACTGCAGTTGCCGCAGCGTAACCTTGCGCGCAACGGTCACCGCAGCTACTGCCCCCTTGAGCCCCTCCAGCTTGTCCCGAGGCAGCCGGCATTCACCCAAGATAGAATCTATTTCCAACCCCAAGAAACTAAGGCACGTCGCCGGGCCCTCCGTCTTATCCGCTGCCAGCGGCACCCCAAAGTGGCCCGCCACCCATTCCATGGTCCTAAGCAGTTGCTGGCATGCCGAGGAGGCAGCCGGCCCCACGCAAAAGAAATTGTCCAAGTAGTGCACCACCGAACGGTTCCCAGCCTCGACCCGCACCACCCATTCGAGAAAAGTACTAAATTTCTCGAAATAGGAGCATGAAATGGAACAGCCCATAGGGAGGCACAAGTCCACGAAATATTTCCCCTCGAAAAAACATCCCAGCAGGTGGTGACAGTCCGGGTGGACTGGCAGCAGCCGAAACGCCGCCTCAATATCCACTTTAGCCATAAGTGCCCCATGCCCGGCCCGTTTAACCAGCTCGACCGCCCGGTCGAATGATGCATATGAGACCGAGCATAAGTCCTTATCAATACCGTCATTCACCGACTCCCCTTTTGGGTAGGAGAGGTGGTGAATGAGCCGGAACTTCCCCGGCTCCTTCTTTGGAACCACCCCGAGAGGGGAAACCCGGAGGTCCTCCAATGGGGGCACCGCAAACGGGCCCGCCATCCGCCCTAGCGCAACCTCCTTGTCTAGTTTCTCCCGTACCACCCCCGGGAAATCCGCCACCGACTTCAGGTTGCGCAACCCCCCCGATCCCCCCCGCTCCCGGAAGGGAATAAAGAAACCCCGCCCGAAGCCTTCCCGAAGTACCGAGGCATCAGCCCTGTTACCGTAGCGGCTTAGCCACGGCTCCATCGCGTCTAGCCTCACCGGCGTGAAGCCCCGGGGCAGGGGAAGCATTCCCTCCGGCCCCGGCAGCCGCTCCGGCTGTTCCCGCCTTCCCTTTTTTGAAACAGCGATTGAGCCCATGAGCACCCCCGCAACCGGAGCACTCATGCTTAAATCGACACGCGTTTCCCCATTTGCACTGGCCCTCATTGTAGAGCCAGCAGAAGCCCTTTTGCAAAGCGGCCGACGAGGCGGACTGCCCCTTCGCGCCGGCCGAGTTTGGAAAGGGCTGCGCCTTCTGGGCCATCATTAGCTTCATCCAGAGGGGCAGATCCATCTGATCCCACCTCATCCCCGGGTTAGCCGCCAGTCGCTGCCTAAACTGTTCATCGTATCGCCACCATGCCAGCCCCCCATAGGTGCGATATGCTTCCCAAATGCCGTCCAGGTAGCAGAACAGGGACGAGCATAATCCCGGCGATTTTTCCCCAAGCACGCTGGCTAGCACGCAAAACGCCCGTAACCAGTTACCAAAGGATTTCGGAATCTTGCGATACCGCTTCCTCTTCTCCTCCTCCTCCTTCTTTTCATCCTTTTTATCCTCCTCTTTGAGGTCAATAAAGTCCTCCAAGGGGAGCAGGGAGAAGATCTCGCAAAACTCACCTTTCCAGAGCTTCTCTTTCACGTCCTGCTTCAGATGAACCCCCAGGGGGCCTGCAAACGAGATGTATGCGTGCTGCCTCGCCGCGTCCGAAATACCCCCGGCCAGTTCCGCCTTGTCACCCCCGGCCGCTATCGCCTCGGGCGCCACCCCCACGTCCCCGCCCGAACTAAGCCCCACGGAAACCCCACTAGGACCAGGGACCTCCGACCAACGCCACCCCCCGTGTCACCCCCCACCCCCAGCGAGTGGAGCAGTGCTTGAAGTGTGCTAACTAAGGAACTGGAGTGTAGTGACCCACAAGACTCACCGGCCAAGCCCCCTGCTACTGACGCGGCAGGGGCTGCGTCGTCGACTGCCCGATGTCCAGGGAGAGCGACTCCCGCCGATACCTCGCCAACCGGGGAGCCAAACCGGTGCCTTGCCCGTGTCGATATGGAACAGCTCCATGACCTGGAAAGAGGAGAAGAAGTCCTGGGTAGGGTGCACTGAGTATTCGCATCCCCCCCGTCCCGACCCTGGGAGCGCCTGCCCATTGCCAAAGCCTCCCGCTGTGCCCCCTGCACGCGCCGCGCGCGGGAGCCCCTAGGGCTACGGCTCCTCCTGTCTTCCCCGGGCATACGTCCCCGCCGACCACCCCTGGGAACGCTAGACCCGCTCTCTCCCGAGCTCCCTGACCTGGAGCGGCGCTGCCGGGACCTCCCCCTCCTCCCCCGTGGCTCTACTTCCCGAACCGGAGAGGGACTACCACTACAGGACCCTGAACCGGACCCCCCCCCCTACTACCCTGCACCCCCAAACGCTCACCCCTCCGGCTAGAGCCCGACCCCCCACCTGAACTGGCTCCCAGACTAAGGGGACCTAGACCCCCCTCAACTAGACTGGCCCCCCCAACCCCTAAACCAGGCCTACCCGACCCTACCCGCACCGGCCTAGCCCCAGAACCCAAGGAGGCCCCCCTCCCCCTACCAGGGGAGCCCAGCAGTCCCTCCTCACCCACAGCCCCCCCACCCCTACCACTACTCCCCCCACCTATGACCCCTGTGCCCCCCCATCCATCACCCGCGATCCCTGGGAGGCCTTCCCGCCCCCCACTTGGGCCCTCCGCCCTCCACCCCCTGTCAGGACCCCCCCAGCACTTATCCCACCAAGGGGGCCCCGGCCGGAGCCCCCTGCACTTGCCTTTGGGGCCGGGAACCGGCCACGTGTCCTCCCGGTCCCGGCCCCGCCGATCTCCGCCTCCGACGGGGTGTGCGCCCTCCCGGGCCGCACCTCCATGCTGCCCGCTCCTCCAGGGGACTGCCCGGCCACGTCCGACCCGGCAGCCGCGACGGCCCCGTCCCGACCGTCCCCCCGGCGCCGGGCACTGGTCCTAGGCCCCGGCCGCTCGCGGGGAGGCGGGGCCTCTACCACGCGGCTGCCGGGCCTGCTGCCACCCACACCGGAGCCTCCCGGACCGCCAGGGATGTCTTCACCGGGTCCCACACCCGGGCTTAGCCGCTCCGGAGGCCTCCTGGCCCGAACAGGCCGTCCGCCGCCGCCGTCCCGGTTCGCCGCCGCCGCCAGGGCCGGGCCTAACTGGGCCTTCAGCCAGTCAGCCCCCTGGTGCCTCGCCGCCGACCGGATCCGCTCCAGCAGTCGCTCCACTTCATCCATCGGCCCTGCAGGGAGACAAAAAGGAAAAGCCCTACCAAGCCAAATCTGTGCCCACAGGAGCGAACACAAACTTAACCAGGTAGGAAGTTAGAATGAATTACCTAAAATGGCTGCCCATTTAAATAACCAAACCCACTTACCCATAACTCCACTCCCTTGCTTACTTCCTCCTAGGCCCGCCTCCTAACCCCTGTCAAGGCCTTTTTTCGCTTAGCTGCGCTTGGCTACATGGGGCTACATTACAGTGAACTTTAAGTAAAACTTTTTTTTTGGTTTAATATAGAATTATATTAATATATATTATAAATATAATTTATTATATGAGGATCTCTTTACATGGTCACAGTCTAGCACACACTTTCACTGATATACACACACACAGTGTCACTTTCACACTCTCATTAACACACACTCACTCTCACTGGCACACACAGTGTAACGTACATACTCACTAACACACATTATCTCACCGAAAAACACACACTCTCACTAACACACACTCACACACTGTCACTCAAACACAAACTCACAACCAGTTTATATATATAGTTACACTTTATTTACACACACACCAATTTACAACCATGCACTATATAACCATTCATAACTCATACTTGAGTGCTGTGTCTGGAGTAGAAGGGGGAAGGGGACGTCTGCTGGGAAAGCAGGAGAGCTGTGCACTCTGAGAACAGGCTGCTCCCTGCAGAGGGCCTCTGGTGTTCACAGGACCCTGCCTGCAGGAAGCAGTGTGTTCTGCTGGGGAGCTGGGGATACAGTACACCCTACTTCCTGAGCAGATAATTAGTGGCAGAGACAGCCCAGCACAGGAAATGCGTGCGCTGGGGAGGTGGCTAAGAAGCTGCTCGCCCAACACTCGGCCCCACACAGCAGCAGGGCAGCCTACCAGAAAACCTCCCAAACTGCTGTTAGATGACGGGGCGGCCTTTGTCAAAGTGTCCTCTGGAGCCATAGTCCCACTGGGACATATAAACCATCTGACCCTGACGACAAGAGATCAAGAGTTTGCTTACAAGTGTAAACAGCGATTAATAAAAAAAAATTAAAACTGATTTATTTTCTAGTTTACAGTAAGATTCTGGTTAGTTAATAGCACTTCTGCATTTTAGGTGTATTAATGGATTGTCTCTGTAATTTATCCAGTTCCTAGCCCACCTGTGGGTCCAAATATAGCGAAAAACTATAATTCTCTCCCTTATCACACTGTTATCATTGGTTACTAAAACTGGCATTGTCAGGTTTTCACCAGAAATTTTAATTTCATGCCTAGATAGCCAAGCTGAAAAAATGAGCAGAGTTGGTGAATTTTTCCAGTTTAGCCATTTTTACCTAAAAATTGAAATCTCAAACATTTCCAGGTTAGTAAATATTTATGGAAAAAGTATAAACATAATTTGTGTATACATGTGTGTACTTGCTTTCCATATTTTCCACACTTATTTCATATTCTAATTCTCAAAGCAACTTTTTTTTTCTTTTTTTTGCAGTGCAGAAATAGGTATACATGCTTGCATGAACATTTAAAAGATTGTCTGCAGTAGAAAGCATACAATATCAGGGAAAAGCAACATTGCGCTGTTTTTTTGTATATAAATTACATGGTAGAACAGTGTGTGTCAAGCGATATTCCATACAATCTAATAAAAACTAAGCCTAGTCTAGTGACAACATTAATATCAACATGTGTTAGAGTGTCGACCAGGAGACTTATTATTAAAGTTTTAGTCAGACTAGGTGACTGGCGGGTACTCAGAACGTAAAATAAAAGTAGACATGCTTCAGTATGTGTGCGTGTCAAAATGACTTAAGGGGAGCAGCACCATACCTAAACTTAAGAAACATGCTTGGTAGACATTGCATACATAGATGTATTCACCGGGTAAGGTAGGTAGCATCTGCGTGTAAGTCACTAAAAATGGACTGTCTCAGGCTAACTAGTAGGTAGTACCATAGCTAGTAAAATCAATTATGGCATACACACTTCTGTAACTTCAAATGCTACGCAAGACTAACTGCATGTAGAGAAAATTTTAACAAAATAAAGGATTATGAAAACAAGACAGTGGCATTAAAATAAAAACTAAACAGGTATAATAGATGGTAGACCAGTCACTGCTTGTGCTTTACCGATGTACGACCCGATCTGGAGCTGACAGCCACCTAGTGGGAAGAGTGAGTCCCGTAGCCTCCCAGAGGAGCATGGCGTAACGTTAGGGTAAAACGTGTGGGGAGTGTGTGACCATCTAAATAGTGAGGGCTAATAATGGCATGGTCACTTGGAGTCCTCAGGTCCGTCTCAGGAATTCAGCCTATGCCCAATTTAAACAGTCTGTTTCCAGGCAGGTACGCAGTGGCCGTAGTTGGATTATAGTACATGGAGTGTTTATCCCTTTGCACTCGCTGCCTTCTCCACGTCTGCGATAGATAGGGAGGTAGATAGTGACCCCTCTGTAGTGGCCATCAGCCCAGGTCAAATGCGGTGACCACCTGTTGATATGTGGGTGATACCAGATGTGTGCGGAAAGTCTCACAGGAGGCCTGTGTTTCACAGATGGAGGGTTTCTCTGCCTTCTGCATTTTCTCAGAGTGGGTTGAGGCACGCAACCCCGAGGAGTTCTCAACAAGGCTGCGAGGGATGAGATGCGTAGCATGTATTTCTCAGCTCTATCTCTTGCCTCCTGCCTCCCCTGAATTCAGTACCAGAATGCAGCGCACACCCGATTAAAACCGGCTAGCAATCCACAAGTAGGCTGCTTATACTCAGCGCTGCCGAAAGGAGCCATCTCAGGAATCGTAGCCACCATCAGCGGTGCCCAGAAGCGGGGGACCAAGCTTCAGTCAATGCTGCTGGAGGACCGGGATGACCCCAGTCGGTTCAGAGGGGGAGTTTGGAGCAAAAGATTGCAGCTCGAGCGCCTTACTTCTGCTCAAGCACGTGTAGGCCTCCAAGTTACCCTTTGGGTTCCTGGCAAGTAGTCTATATGGACTTGGTGTCTAAACATGCACCTAATCATCCTGGAGGTGTTCGGCACCCGGTGGAGTCGGTAAGAACCCGGTGTCATAAGATATTTCTCGGGTTTCAGCTTGTGGAGTGGGAGCTCACTAAGAGTGCTTCCAGTCGGCTTGACAATCAGGCTCCGCCCCCTGAAGTGACCTTTTTATGGGAAATGTTTATTGAAGAAAAAAACTTGGCTTCTCTGAATTTGTATCTTTGCAATAGTCCCTAATTCAAAGAACAGTGTAACTGTTTATCTGTATAGATAACTGTTGGTTGTTAGCCTTTACATGTAATTATACTTATGAAAAAGTGTGAGTTTCTTGGAGGTTCTAACTAGAAACCCATCTTGGAAGTTAGGATCTACATTGGTTCACTGTACATGGCAAATCTGTTTTTCCCTTGAAGAAAGTAAGTGGTTCCTCTAACTCTGATGACACAGTGTCAGATATCTACTGAAAGTTGGGTACTGTTCAGATCTTGCATTACTCCACAGATTAGGGGATAGCGGTGCCAAACATGGCATCATATACTGGATATTCTTAAAAATGGAAGTACAAGTGCTAAGAGAGCAGTGGGAGTAAGATCTAACTGATCCCAGTCCAACTAAATTACCATGGAACGGGTATTAAAGCTGCCAGGAAATGTGATTTTAGATGTTGCCACTTATACAACCTCTATTATAACAACACAGTCTTCAATGTAGTTGAAAATCCTAGTCTTCTCACAACACTGATTTGTCCAGAAAGTAGGCTGTGCTTATTAAAACGTATGGTGGTGCTTGTTAAAATGTATTGTTTACATGCTTGTAATCTGTATATTTTTTGCCTGCTTTAGATATGCTGCATTATACATTTATCTTGACATAGATACAAAAAATACAAGCTTTAGGTTGCTGTAAAAATTTTGTACACCAGAAGAAATAAAAAATAGCCTTTTCACTTTAACTTTTTGCACAGATGATGAACACAACCATAGTAGCTGAAAATGTATTGGTAACATAATAATTCCAGCCTTCTTCATTCTTATTTTTGTCATTGATTTATGTTGAATAAGAGTAAATAATGCATGCATAACATAAAGAGTGAATAACTATACATTAAGAAGAACTATGCCATCAAATGATTGTACTGTTATCTGTGTTTGCAGGTTGGTAAGATTCATCAATGTAGAAATAGCTGTTCTGTTTAATTCCTTTTTAACCGAAGGAGGAAAAAGCAATGGGTGGGAATTATTCTGTTTACTTTAAGCATTGTATAGTACAATCCAATAACTCTACTTTTTTTAAATATCTATTGAAAGGATTTACAAGAGAAATCTATAATAATTTTAAGGATTGTCCCCAATTGTTTATTTAGATGGAAAGTGATAACTGTAAAATTCTAAAACCTAAAGCTAGATAAGCAGGTTTTATTAATGACCTGTCACACACACCATGACTAGATAATTAAAGTTTTTTTCTCCACCCCCAGAGGAATGGAGTGGACAAATTTCTTTGATAGTTTGATAACCATGGGACACTGGTTGAAACTTATTGATGCAATCAGAGCTCATTCGATTTGCTCTCGACAGCCACTCCTATCAGTTAATTTCACCTGTGAATAGTTAATTATCCCTTGAATGCATATGGGGGAGTCATTAATAAAATTTGACTACATTCTGTCATTTTTTTTTCTTAAGCTAGCCTAGTGCCTTTTATCACTGTGAATCTTAACTCATGCATTCCTATGCGAAAAGCACGGATGTAAGCTATCGTGCAGCCATTGTTAGAGATAAAGGCACACTACATGGATCATGTCTTGCTCTTAGTATTCTTTCTGGACTGGAGCTGCTTGTGTATTGAAAAGGCAAATATAAATACACAATAATAATGTATATATTAATGTTTTACGTCTTTTTTTAAGTGAAATTAATTTTAAAGCACAAACAACAAAGGTGGGGCTTAGCAGAAAGATTAAAACAATAACTTTAAAAGTTTAATATAACAAAGTAAAACCATTTCTTCATATTTATCATATTTGTTTATAAAGCACCCTCAGCCACCACAGTGTGCGCCGTAGGAGGCTGCCCCCATTAGATCCCGGGTAAGTTATTAAACCATTCACAAACAGTTTGACTACTTACCAAGGGAGGCCAACATGCCACTCCTGGCATGCAGTAGTGTTTATGGTGCTTGGGGTGTTTCTATAATTATTGTGTTTCCAAGACTC